GAAATTTGGCAATCAGCCAGTGTACATAGATTTTAAGTACACTAGAACTATCTACAACTATATAAAAACGATAAAAAACGAAGTAAATTTATTGTGTTCTATAAAAGCGTTGTCACCACAAATAACCCAGTTAGCGCCCACGCCGGTGCGCCCGTGTTGCGGACCCTTCTTATATTCATACTGATGATGATAAATTCTGCGTAGTGCAAAAATGTTAGATAAAAATGATGTTTGTTGTTAGAATATTTTTATGAAAAATAAAAAATATTGAAATGCATTTATTTATCGGAAATTCAAAAATGTTTATTTAAATTAGTTATATAGATTTTAAGTACACTATAACTGTGTACGACTATGTTAAAAGGATAAGAAATGAAATAAATTTATTGTGTCCTATAAAAGCGTTGTCACCATAAATAGAAAGGGACGGTACCACACTTGCTGTCGTCATTCTGTCCTTTTTTTAATTCAATTTCAAGGTCAAATATTCAGGGCCCGATCAATTTCAAGAACATCTTATTCCAGTTATTATACTAATCATGTGATTATTCATAAATTAATGTCTAAGTAAGACAGATTACTGTTGCTGTTACAAATCACCAAATTACGGCAGGAAAAGGTCTAAGGTCATACAGACTACATTGATTTGTATTTGTATTATACTGTAATTGGATGGTATGGGAGTTCGTCTGAGTAGGTATCATCCTCTTACTTATTTAGTACCGGAATAAATACACAACATCTCAGTTCGTAGAGATGACAACGACGTAACTTTTTTTGTTTCAAGTTAGCTGCAAGTATTCATGGGCTCATGGGCGCTTGGTTGCTCAGGTCAGTTTTATAAAAAAAAAACTTTAACTATTAAATAATAATACACTTAACAATTTTTATAACATGTATTATCGGAATGTCGAGAACATTCTAAACACCTTTTATTGGATAACAGACACAAATATTTCAATAATTATTTTATTTTTGGGAATACTAATATGCATGTCAGCAATAAGCCGCCATGTAACTTTTTATCTGACTCTATGCAGCCTTAAACCATCGAAAGAGTATTATGCTTCTAAAGATATCTAATTTGTCAAAATAATCATACATACATACATACGTTATAAAATCGTAACCATCGTAGTAGTAGAGTAAAATATTTACTTACATCATTTGAGTCACATCAGAAGACACCTTTATACCATTTATAAATAAATATGTAGCATGCTTTATACTGCGATCGGTATTATTAATTGAAGTTGAGGCAGGCAGTGCACGGTGCATCACCATTTGTCTTCCACCCATGCACATTTCACGCGCAATGGTTTATTTTAATTTCGGCCTCGTCTTAATCACTCTATCACTCACTAATCAAGTATATGATACTATATCTAAGGTACACTAATGCTAATGCGCTAAACGTAACGATAGCTTCTTCGACGTTCAGCTTCAAACGTGCTAACTTTATGTGAAACCGCTATAGTGAGGAATAATTGCTTATTTTACGGTGTGTTAACTTTTAACGACGTGGCCTCGCGCACTATTATCGGACTTCTGTAGTATTGTAGAGCGGTTAACATAGTTACATAGTCACCTAGCTTGCTACATATTTATTAATCTGTAAAATCACCAGAATAGTAGTAGGTTAATGGTTTGCGTATTGTTCTTGTTCAAAGAAAACATGAGTGACCTCCTGCACACGCGGTAGAAGTGAAACCTTCAAAAACCTAAACTAAACTAAAATAATTTTATTCGATACGGTTAATTTTATTTAATTGATTAATTTTTATACTGTTTATTTTTACAGTTAAAGTTTATACTAACAATCTTTAAAGCATTGCACGAAGAGGAAACCGAGATAACAGGAAAAATTGTATTTTTTTATTAAAAAATCTATTAATATTACATAACTAATAATTCTCTTTAACCACTACTGTAAGCTGAAAACCTGAAGATGGTCATGTTTGGAATGGTTCATAGTCGTCGAATAGTGGATTCGAAACCGGAACCCACAGAGTACTTTTTTATATATAGCCGCAAACGTAAGGGCTCGCGGTCCGCACCCCGCCATTTGGCTACTGCCGCTTCCACTCAAAGAGTATATAGTGTATAGTAACTGTCCTATACAGTATACAGATCCTGTGCTTCCACTGTATTCTATGTTATTCTTTCGCAGGCTAAATTCTATAGATCATATAATTTAGAATATACTGGCGTATTCTAAGTCTATGGTATAGATGTATTGATAGTTTGTTTCTTTTTAGTGTCGCTTTTTCGTTACATCGAGGTTTTTTATATTCTGTGGTCCCACGTGGTGCAAAAATTATATGTAATTTATCGTATTTATTCACTACGTTCTGGTATTGTCTATGATTTGTGTTCTAGCTAGTGTTGCGGCGGTTAAAGAAATTATGTTTAACCGGTTAATTATAAAATTAAATTTTGATAAGAAAATAAATAATATTCTGATTGAGTTGGTTTATTCATATATCATGTTTTACTCTAATATATCTATTATAACTTTAATTAGGTTGTAATTACCTTTTCTATCTTAAATTCTATAAATAATACGGATAGGGATGGAATGGAGATTGTCCAAGGAAACGCACATATAGGATCTTTTTATATATTTAATAAATTCAAATTAACTTCAAAAATAATTCAATCATAGTGAATTAATTCAAAATCTATTTAAAGGAAATATGAAATAAGCATCAAATTAAAAACTATGCAAAGAAAATACAAAGTTTGCAAGATACATTTAGTTAAAGAATTAGGTTTTAAAAAACGGTTCAAGTTGGTGAGTTGGTGACACCTTTTCACTGACGGGCTCATTACAGCCTTTCATAAGTCCACTGCTGAACATAGGCCTCCCCCAAGGAATGCCACAAAGCACGGTCCTGAGCCACCTGCATCCATCAACTTCCTGCATGTCTTACCAGGTCGTCACTCCATCTCGTGGGGGGTCGCCCTACACTTCGCCTACCGGTACGAGGCTGCCATTCAAGAACCTTTCTTCCCCATCGGTTGTCGGTTCTTCGAGCTATATGGCCGGCCCACTGCCACTTCAGCTTACTAATCCGTTGGGCTATGTCGGTCACTCTGGTTCTACTGCGGATATCCTCATTTCTAAGTTTATCACGCAGAGAAACTCCGAGCATAGCCCTCTCCATAGCTCACTGAGAGACTTTGAGCTTCCTCATATGGCCAGCAGTGAAGGACCACGTCTCAGATCTGTAAATCATCACTGGCAACACGCACTGGTTGTACAATTTCATTTTAAGGTTTTGAGGAATGTCTGACGAGAAGTGTCGTAGTTTCCCGAACGCTGCCCAGCCGAGTTGAATCCGTCGATTGACCTCTCGGTCAAAGTTGGACTTACCTAGTCGGACTATTTGTCCCAGGTAAACATACTCGATAACAACTACCGGCATAGGTGTGACAAGCACATTGAACATGATCTTTGTTTTGTCCATGTTCATCTTAAGACCTATCCGTTGGGAGACACTATTGAGGTCATTGAGCATGGTGCTTGTATCCTCCAGCGATTCTGCCATAAGGACTATATCGTCGGCAAATCGAAGGTGAGTGATGTACTCGCCATTGATGTTAATTCGGAATAGTGTCGGATAAGACTCGCTCTTTGATCGTTACTCACACTTGCGTGTGGCTCCAACGATGACGTGTACAGCTGCCTATAGAACCTCTCAATCTCACTCAAAATCTCAGGTGCCCCGGAAACGATGCTGCCAGACTCGGTCCTCAGCTTTGACAGTTGACTTCTGGCAGACAGATCTCTAGCAAAGACTTTGGAGCCTTGGTTTCGCTCGATCGCTTCTTCAATACAAGCTTTATTGAAGTTTCGTAAGTCCCGCCGCATGCATTTGGAGATCTGTCTGTTCAGTTGCATGTTGCAGTATGCTGTCAAATCTGTTGAAGAATGTAGCTTCATCTCCCGTGTAACAACCATGAGATTAAAAGTGTGATCGGAGAGTTTTTGTGTTCTTCTGCGGCGGGTCTTGCAGAACTTAGCTCCGACCGCATGGACAGTTTCCACGAGCTTGTCATTCATATCGTCCACTTCATTGCAGTTTTCTAGGCACTGAAAACGGTTTTGTAACTCGAACGGTTTTGTAAGCTGAAAGGTTTCAGGACTTTGGAACAGTGCACGAGCGGGGCGGAGCGTTGACTTTATTAGACGAGACCTCTCCAACTTAACATTTAGGTTCAGTGTGCCTCTAACCATTCGGTGATCGCTACCAGTTTTCACCCTCACGATCACGAACAGTTGTCGTCTGGTCTTCATAATGAAGTCAATCTCATTTTTTGTCGAACCATCGGGGCTCGACCAGGTCCACTTCCTGTGGGGACGCTTCTGGAACAAAGAGTTCATCATAAAGAGTCCCTCTTTCTCCATGAAGTCGGCCAGCTGCTGGCCCCTTGAGTTCCGTTGGCCTATTCCAAATTTCCCTATTTTCAGCTCACCGTTCTCTCTTGTGCCTAGTTTTGCATTGAAGTCTCCCATTAACACCGTATATTGGGTTTTGGAGGAATGCATGGCTCTAGAGATATCCTCATACATTTCCTCCACCTCCTCATCGGGGTGTGCCGAGGTCGGTGCGTAAACCTGTATGACCTTCAGCGAATACCGTTTGGTGATTCTGAGTATAAGGTACGCAACCCTCGTCGACACACTCTCGATTTTTACAACGTTGTTAACGAGAACCTTGTGGACGATAAATCCGACACCTCCTTGGGACAGATGGTCGCCCTCCCGGTGATAGAGCAAGTTGCCGGATTCGAGGATTACCGTGTCTTCCCCCTCTCTTCAGACTTCGGATAATCCTATAATATGCCAGCGTAACTTGTCTATCTCTTCTTCCAGCTCCATGATCTTCTCGTCAGTCCTCAGGGTGCGTGCGTTGTACGTCTAAGGTGGCAACCGAACCTCCACCGGAGATTCTTAGCACTCCCTGTTATGCGATAAGTCAATTAAATTTAAAGTCAGTCAAATCAGTGACTAAGATTTAACAACTTTAGTTTTGTGACGGTTACGATTATAAACGATATGTACAAACAACTAATACGAGTTCAATCGCAAACGTCTTTAATCGGTTAAGAATTATAATTATTTAACGACCCATCACTAGTTCTCCTTGCTCGCGGCAGCATTGGGTACGTGTATTGAGATAAAAGAAAATAATTATAAAATTTTCTGCATTATTCCTATTAAACTTAATCTTTTTTCGCCAGGAGGAAAAAAACCGATCCTGGCGTCGAAAGTTTAAATTTCCAGGTTGATTTGCTACAGTACATAAGGTAAGTTTGTTATATTTTTTTAAGACGTGTTCCACGTCAAATGTGTTGGAAGAAGGTGACACGTACTATCACAATATTGAAATGTACGTTTTGGCTAAAATGATTATCTTTGTCTACTTTTTAGCTTAACATATATTATTTACTTATATTTTTTCAAAGCATTTTTTGGATAAAGTAAGTAAAATATTAGGTTCTAGGCTACAATATGTTTAAAATATTTTTTCTGTTTTAATTTGATTAAATTCCTTTCTTATGGGTAAGAATATACAATAAATAAAATTATAATTAGCCTAAAAACATCAAAACATAATTGATATTAGTATTTTTAACAAATTTTTTATTAATTTTTGATACAGTTTGGTTTGTGTTTCTTTTCCGGAGATTAAAAAAACATCTATTGTTAACAATTTGACACATTAGCGTTATTATTTAATCTTATTAATAGCTCAATTTGTGAGTACGGAAGAGATGAAGGTACAGTAAATCATAATTTTTTTTTGAACTTCCTTAATCTCATATTAACTATATAATTTTCTTCTCAGTCATATGCCCGTCCAATAAATCTCAAGTCTTTGTCACATTTAGTTTAGTTAGTTTACAACAGGCTTTTTCAGCAACCCCACGTCTAAGCGCGTATTTTGCTTGTGGGCAGGAATATTTTTTTTATAAGATAATGACAATAAACGTGCACACGTTCCACCTGATGATAAGTGGTTGCTGCGGCCCACAGTCTTCTTACATCTATCCTCAATTTTGAACCAAAATGCAGATGCGTTCTCGCCCGTGAGAACTATGATAGAATGCCTCATTCCCAGTAAAAAGGGTCTTTGGTTCTCTACACTTACCATATGAAACGCAGCAGCATTACGCTGCTATTTTACACTGATATTCTGTGAAATTGTAGTCATTTCAAAACAGAAAAAAGTCAACTCAATTATTTAGGTATAAGCTTGGGATGGAAATGCTCCAGTGCTTTAGTTTACAAAAACACTTCAGGGTTAGTAAACAAAACTGTGTGAATTGGGGTGATTCAGTGTTGACAGTTTTTAAACGTAAAATATGATAGTTAATGAATAGAATAGTGCCAAGAAATAGTTTTTATCTGCATATTTTATTGCTTTAAGCAAATGTTAAAATCAATTCACACCCACCCCCTGAAGGTAATAATGATGGTGGTTTGAAAGAGTCCAATGCCAGTATCACTTCTTTTACTGCAATTATTTGTAGATATAATTACAGTAATGCAAATTAAAAAAATAATTGCCACTTAGTTGTGGGTAATGACATATTTTGGGAGTAATCGGTAGGCATAACTAGTTTTCAAAACTGCTTATTTTTGTAACTAGTCAATTCTATATAGAGAGTTGATTATTTTATTATATTACTCTCGTGTGTTACGTTTAGAATAGCGGTATAGCCATATCTCTTTTAAATGTAATAGTCAGATAGACAGTAGCAGTGTAGTAAACATGCAAGATTACTGGTAAAATACCATTATTCCACCTGTCAAGTGTGGTGGATAGATTTTTAATATATAGATATAGACAACAGTTTAGTTCTTTATGAATGAATACTTTTTTTTTTAATTTTTGTAAATATTGTATTGAACACTCATAATATTTTTTAAGAATTTTCGGAAGTTTTTTTACATCATTCATATAATTCCTTCATTAATATATTTCATACTTACAATTGATATCATTTGTTTTCGCCTTATATCGCATCTTGATTTATGTGCGTGATTTAATAATAGTGAAAATTAGAAATATACTTTAATACTTGATAATGGAAATGCCATTATGAAGCTTTAATTCTAATTTTCACTCAACACAACTCACGCTATCCTTGTGTGATGTCAGAAAAATATTTTCAAAATTAATCTGCTTTAAATACCCAATATATGTTTGTTAAATAATAAGGAGCAATAATAAATAATAATAAGGAGGTGCTCTTAATTACTGAAAAGTTTAGTATCATTATGAATTCTATATTTACCATCATCTATTTTTATGTATTAAATAATGTTTATTTTTCGAACATGGTTAAGATGTGAAAAGCATAATATGACAATGGATGTTAGTGAGGATATTTTTCTTTCCATTGTATAGTACTGTAACGACTTGGCGCGGACAAGGACTGCTGGAGGAGACGAAAATGATGCATCAGCAACCCATGATGGTTGGAGAAATGATACCCGTTCATTCTGACATACCTGTGCATACTGAGGACATGAATAATGTGGGCTATGATAATAGTGGCTCCTATGCATACGACGATTTATTTCCTGCTCTACCCCACTCTCAACCTCCTGTACAACGTAATATACAACAAGTCACTAATAAGTTGCGAGTTGGATCATCTTTACATACTCAGGTATCTTTTGCTACTTTTGCCTTTATAGTTAATAATGACGAAAATGTTGAAACAAAATGGAAAACACTAATTTCGGCCAATCTATATAATATTGGTTCAGTAAGATTGAAGATTTGAATGCAACATCCATACATCAATAGAAAAACAATAACACATTCTAATCCAAAACAAGCATTTTGACTGACTGACCTGACTTAATTAGGTTAGGGTTTGAACACAGGACATGCAACTCAATAGCTAATAGTATTCTTAGCAACTGAGACTGTTACACTAATATACTACTAAAATAATATTCCTGAACTAAATCTTTATTATAATTTTTGTGCTGTCAGAAGAATGAATAGTTCATTCTTAAATTTATGTTTTTGTAGGTGTTCCATGTGCCATATGAAGAAAGGAAATTGGATAATGCCAATACATTCGGAGAGGGCGAGTCTTTAAGAACTTGCCAGGCGATCGCTAAAGAAACTGGGGCACATATAGAAATTACTACCAGTAAGGATGGAAGTCTTACTTTTTTAATTACTGGTAAAAACAGTACAGTTCTGGATGCAAGACGTCAAATTTTGACTCATTTCCAACAACAGGCAAGTTGATTTATTGACTTATTAGATTTGTCCAATAAGTATCCAGTTAAAGTTTGTTATACCTTCTAAATAGTTTCTGCTTATTCTGTGACTGAAAAAAGTTGTAAATGCTGAACAAAATAATGCTAAATGTAAGGCTGTTTCATTGGATGGATAATTGGTCATTTAGTATTTACTTTCATGTTGTCTAAATTGTTTGTATATTAAGCTTTTTACCACACATGTCCTGGTAGGTACATATATTACATGTGGCGGCACGTAAACCTCAATGGGAGCGTTTTTTATTAGACCAAATGATAATTATGTTTCGGTTTGACATTCATTTCCATTGAAGCAGTACAACATGCATACTATTTGGTTATTAATTAATTTATACATGATAATATTATCATGTTGTGCGTGAATGTTCACGATAAGGGTCTATGGCCTCTGTCAAGTTATTAAAATGCATAAATATTTACAATGCTTGAACTATTGATGCAAGCAAGGCGTTGCGTCTTTGTATGTGTATCCTGCAAAAGCCTTTTCTCCTTTAGACATATTATTATCGTTGTGTAATTGCAAGTGTTCTAGTATCTTCCGGTTGAAAGAGTGGAATGAACTGGACTCTTTTCTTTTTGAGTATAAAAGCGTGTGAAAAGAGGGCAAGTTTATCATCCCCTCTAACAGTATTATTATTTTTAACAATTAACCTTCTGATGTATTACTGAGATTACCAGGGTTCGAAGAAGTCAGAATTTTATATATAGATATAGTATATATATTTTAAACTGGATATCTATTTATTAAAAATATATATCATATATATATATATATATATATATATATATATATATATATATATATATATATATATATATGATATATATTATTTATTATATATATCATATATATATATAGATTATGTATTATATCGTTGGAGCCATACGCAAGTGTGAGTAACGATCCAAGAGCGAGTCTCATCCGACACTATTCCGAAGATATCCCGGACGTCAGTCTGAGCGAGATTAGAATGGCTCTCCAGCACCTTAAAAACGGTAAGACCCCAGGCGAGGATGGAATTACAGCAGAGCTTCTGAAAGCGGGTGGAAAACCGGTACTTGAAGTCCTTCAGAGGCTCTTTAATTCCATCCTCCATGATGGCATTACACCGGAGGCGTGGAGCAGAAGTGCGGTGGTTTTGTTCTTCAAGAAAGGTGACAACGCTCTCTTGAAGAACTACAGACCGATTTCTCTTCTGAGCCGCGTCTACGTGCTGTTTTCGAGAGTCATTACGAATCGTCTCGCGCGCAGACTTGACGACTTCCAGCCTCCCGAACAAGCCGGTTTCCGAAAGGGCTTTAGCACCATAGACCACATACATACCCTTCGGCAAATTGTACAGAAGTCCGAAGAGTACAATTTGCCACTATGTCTGGCGTATGTGGACTATGAGACAGCCTTTGATTCCGTCGAAATTTGGGCGGTGCTGCAGTCCCTTCAGCGGTGCCAAGTTGACTGTCGGTATATCGAAGTGTTGAAGTGCTTGTACAGTAGGGCTACGATGGCTATCCGAGTACAGAAACAGAGTACGAAACCTATCCAATTGCAGAGAGGTGTAAGACAAGGTGACGTCATATCCCCGAAACTCTTCACCGCTGCATTGGAAGACGTTTTCAGGTACGACTTTCCATTGACGTCAGTGGAGTTTGGTGTTGATACGTATTTTTACAGAAAGATTACACTATTATAAGCACACACACAAAGTCTCAATATACGGAAACGCGTAATTTTTGAGAAAAGAATAATTGAAAATCAATTATTCTTGCAATGTTTATGTCTAATCTGCTAGTAAACTGGCGCCATTTTGTAATGTCATAGTCGATGTCAATAGGGATGTCGATTCTTTCCGAAAAAGATCGATTTTTTTAATAGATTCGAATTGTAAGCTGATGTATCGATTCCCAAAAAATCGTTTTCAAAATATCGATATTTTTTTCATATTTGCATTTATAATGTAAATATAAATCCATTTTATGAGAAAAAAATCCCCTTCATCATAAAAAAATAAGAGGACTGATTCATAAGGATTTCTGTATCTATTTTGAGACTGCTACGTCTCCGGCGCTGCGGGAAGAGCAACCTCTACGCCTTAGCGTAACAAATCGCAGGCATCCCTCCTCGCCTCTGCAGCTTCGGCTTGTTGGTCGCCTTCGGCGACCAGCCTCGGCCGCTCCGGCTCGTCCGATGCCTACGATTTGTTACAGCAGGCGGAGGCTGCTCCCCCTACGCGCCTCCGGCTCTATAAAACCACTCTAGGGGTAGGACAGACTCGTACCAGGTGGAGTCGGGGTCAATCAATTCGGTTCTTTGACATAAGTTGAACCTAACCTATTTTATTTGTTATCTGCCCTAATAGGTACTGTTAAATAAAACAAATTTCAATAAGAGATAATTTATCATGGTATCTTTCTTGTTTTTCATAAAATGGGTTTATATTTACATTATAAATAGAAACATTAAAAAAATATAGATATTTTAGAAATCGATTTTTTGTGAACCGATACATCAGCTTACGATTTGAATTGATTTAAAAATCGACCTTTTTCAGAAAGAATCGACATCCCTATTGACGTCGACAATGACATTACAAAATGGCGCCAGTTTATTAGCCGATTAGACATAAACATTGCAAGAATAATTGATTCTCAATTATTCTTTTCTCAAAAATTACGCGTTTCCGTATATTGAGACTTTGTGTGTGTGCTTATAATAGTGTAATCTTTCTGTAAAAATACGTATCAACACCAAACTCCACTGACGTCAATGGAAAGCTAAGCCCGTTTTCAAGCTTCTGGACTGGAAAGGATACGGTATCAACATCAATGGCGAGTACATCACTCACCTTCGATTTGCCGACGATATAGTCCTTATGGCAGAATCGCTGGAGGACCTAAGCACTATGCTCAATGACCTCAATAGTGTTTCCCAACGGATAGGTCTTAAGATGAACATGGACAAAACAAAGATCATGTTTAATGTCCATGTCACACCTATGCCGGTAGTTGTTGGGAACACTAAGCTCGAAGTTGTTGACGAGTATGTTTACCTGGGACAAATAGTCCGACTAGGTAAGTCCAACTTCGACCGAGAGGTCAATCGACGGATTCAACTCGGCTGGGCAGCGTTCGGGAAGCTACGGCACATCTTCTCGTCAGACATACCTCAAAACCTTAAAACGAAATTGTACAACCAGTGCGTGTTGCCAGTGATGACTTACGGAACTGAGACGTGGTCCTTCACTGCTGGCCGTATGAGAAAGCTCAAGGTCGCTCAGCGAGCTATGGAGAGGGCTATGCTCGGAGTTTCTTTGCGTGATAAACTTAGGAATGAGGATATTCGCAGTAGAACCAGAGTAACCGACATAGCCCAATGGATTAGTAAGCTGAAGTGGCAGTGGGCCGGCCATATAGCTCCAAGAACCGACAACCGATGGGGAAGAAAGGTTCTCGAGTGGTGGCCTCGTACCGGTAGGCGAAGTGTAGGGCGTCCCCCCACGAGATGGAGTGACGACCTGGTAAGACATGCAGGAAGTTAATGGATGCAGGTGGCTCAGGACCGTGCTTTGTGGCATTCTTTGGGGGAGGCCTATGTTCAGCAGTGAACTTGTGTAGGGCTGTAATGATGAATGATGATATATATATGTATGTATATGTATATATATAACGATGTATTTACGTCGATATATTATATCTTTGAATACTGACCATTATGTCATGAAAAAATGAATGTGATGAACATGTTGTCAAAAGTAATCTAAAAGTACCAAATATTTGAATCTCATATGAAATGTATTAATGTAGGTATGTAGTATATGCATCAAATTTATGTTAATATATTAGTAATTACCCATTTATTTTAAATTTTTACCTTAATTCTTATTGCAGGCTAGCAAACAAATATCTATCCCGAAGGAACACTATCGCTGGATTCTTGGTAAACAAGGTCAGAAATTACGTGATTTGGAAAAACTTACTGCAACCAAGATAAGTGTTCCTAGCATATCTGATAATAGCGAGATAATTACTATTACTGGCACTAAAGAGGGGATTGAGAAGGCTGAACACGAAATAAGAGTTTGCTCGGAAGAACAGGTACATTAATAAAATAGTAAAATAAAATATAATTCTAAAGTTTTACTTTATAACACGATGTATAACGTACATTTGAGAGTACAGTCGTGAGTGTGCCGGCTTGCGGGCGGTGCGGTCATGTGTTAGACAAAGTTTGATTTCCGGTTAGTCTTTTTTGAGGTGTCAATTTTGAACCATGACAGAATTCAGTGCTTATAAGTTATAACAAATTATTTTTGACTTCTTTGACAAATATTGCTATTTCGCTCAAAACCTTTGATCTAATGGCATAAATATATTTGTTTTTATTACCTAGTATTTTTATGTAAAAGCTAATTAAACCATTACAAAAATTTCAGTCACGTAAGGCGTTAGAACGTATATCCATACCGAAGATATATCATCCATTCATCCAAGGTCCATTTGGAGAGCGCGCACAAGCCCTTAGCGCAGAAACTGGAGCCCGTATACATATTCCACCTGCTTCTACTCAGAGTGACGAAATTGTCATTGCAGGAGAAAAGAATGGAGTTCTTGCTGCAAAGGCACAGATAGAGCAAATTTATCAGGAAATGGTAACTGAAACAGATTTTTCTTTTTCGTATAGCTTAGTAACTCATCAAAGTAATTTTATCTAGTAGGTTAGGTTTTATTCATTCATAACTTCATAGATTTTCAATTTCTTAATTTATATTTAATACTGTATGGATAAATTGTAATGTTTTTTTAAAGGTAAACAAGTGCTCAACTGTGCGAGTAGAGGTTCCAAAATCGCAGCACAAGTATGTTATTGGTGCTAGAGGAACAACTATTCAAGAGATTCTAAAAGAAACTGGTGTATCTGTTGAAATGCCTCCTCCTGATTCGCCTACTGGAACAATCACATTACATGGACCCCATAATAAGATTGGCATGGGTAAAATTTCTAGATTCTATCAATTCGTATTCAACGTGATATTAATGCACTACTAAACCCAAATATTCTCCTACAGCACTGTCAATGGTGTGTGACAAAGCCAATTCAGTAAAAACTGCAACAGTTGATGCACCAACATGGATTCATAAGTACATAATTGGCAAGAATGGTTCCAACATTAAAAAGATTACTCAGGATCTTTCAAAGGTATTTTTATTAATTGTATGAAATTTTTACATTTAGTACTTGTATAGCATGAGGCTTGGAGCATAAGTGCTGACCAGAGCACTGAAATAATTGTAGCACATTAAATAATTATTGGTCTCTGCATACAGGGCTAAACATCTCTCCCCGAAGTTGCTCGCTTCATCGCTTTAGTGAGGAGTTGGCACATAATAGATTTAGTGATGAATTGGTGACAATTAGTGATTTAAGAAAAAAAAATGTGACTTAATTATTAAACAAGACAGAATCCTCCCTAAGACTAATATTTCCGGTTACGCAATATGTTTTATTTTCAGTATATGAAAATCGCCAATTAGTCACTAAATCTTAAAATAGGAATCACATTTCAGATGCAGACTGTTATCGAGGGGATGCTGCTAGCTTGAATTCAAGCTAGAATCCTCCCAAAAAATTCCTTAGTTTTTTTTTTCTTAACTTTTTCTTCATATGTCACTAATTGTCACCAATTGCTCACTAATGCTCGGTTTCTGAGGTACTTTTATCGGCAGTTTATCTATTCGTTAGCGCTATTGGTTCGATAACTTGTGAAAGTGTGTTTCCGAACATCGCAATGTAAGATAAACTCCGTTTAAGCTAAGTTTAATTTAACTGGCCAATATGTGCCATTTATCGGTTCTATAACTTTATTTGACGTTTAATTTCAAGTAAACTACATGATTTTTTAGGTTATAACGTGTTATTATTAAAATAAATTGCCAGTGGGCGCTAAATACAAAAATATTCAAGGGATAAAATAATTATTAATAGAAGTGCAATGAATACGCGTACTCTTCTCTCTTTCAGAAAAATTTTTACTACGTTTTCCAGATTCCATAATGTTTTGGATAATGCAAAAACGATAGTAAATACCACTAAACTTAAAATCATAAAATTATGAAAAATAAAACCACATTCAAATAAAAGCAATGAGTTTGATGTTTTCTTTTTTAACAATTTGACAATACAATGATGTCATTCATACAGTTTCTGATAAATATGGAATTATCATATTTTATTACTAAAACAGTGCATATCCTCTTATTTAGCCTCAAAAAATATATTTTATAAATAATACTAGTATAAATGAAGAATTGAAATTAAAAAATCAATTTTAAACTCGATGTCTTAAACAGGCCCATCTAGCGGCAAATTATGGTACTTGTTAATGGTTTCATAGTTGTGAACGATTCGTTGCGTATTCAGAAACACAGTGACAGTTAACCGACGTATATCCTATAGATAACTTTATTGAATCAATAGCTAATGGGAAGATAACTAAGAACTTCAGAAACCGGGCATAAATCTTGACCTTATAAAATTTAGAATGTCGTTAGGGAGCATAGAATACTAAATATACAATAGAATGACTGCCATGCCAACATGTCGCTAAACAACTACGTGGAATATCCCGAGACATATGTCGCGGAACATTTTACAGGCCACACTAGTCAATGCTTATAGAAATGTCGCCAAGGAGGTTGTGGCGATTAGTGTTGCGTACTTATTTCGAGAATGAAATGTAAACGAAAGAGAAGGCGTTGGATGCGGAATTTCATTTAATTACAACGAGAAGACAAAAGAATTAATATTTTAAATTACCTCCGAATGTCTGACGGATCTTTTGTGAATTTTACTCGAATGTCAACATCTGATTTTGAAACTTTATTACAAATGTTCGGACCTTCCATAGCCAAGACTTGTCCTTGCATTAAGATATTTGTCGACTAGAGATTCTTATGCTTGCTTGTCGTACACTTTTCGAGTGTCGAAACAACTGATCGGCAGAATAGTACCAGAAGTTTGTGATTTGTTCGTTGTTTTATTTGTTTGGTAGTTTGCTTTTTCACAGCATATGCTGCAGAACTAACTCTGCTTGCTAGTTTTGATATATGGGGGCTCCATTGAAGCTTCGCGTCTAGTGCGGTTCCAAGAAAAATGGTGGTATAGACAAGACTCAGTTCCTCCCCATTTAAAATTACGTTAGTATTTAATTGTTTTCATGGATTTCATTGAAGTCATGAATTTCATATATTTCGTTTTAGTTGCATTTAAATGCAAATTATTAAAATTGAACCAATTTACTAATTTAGATATAGCATTATTTACTTCGTCATATTTTAGTAACTGTCGTCTTAATTTCAAAATTAAAGAATTGTCATTAGCAAAATAATACTATATCATGGTTATCCCCTACTAGGTAAGGTAAGTCATTAATGTATACAAGAAACAGAAAGGGGCCAAGAATTGAGCCTTGAGGCACGTCTATTTGTATGATTGAACCGGAAGAGCTCATACTTTTAATGACAACTTTTTGCGTTCTGTTACTTAAATATGAAACAATATTTAATCAGCTCAACACCAGCATTAGTTGTCGAGCGACCCTTTGTGAAACCGAATTAATTTTTATGAAGTAAACTATTTACATTAAAAAAAATATATAACATTTGATCACAAATATTTTTTTCAAAAATCTTACTAAGTGTAGGCAGTACAGATATTGGTCTAAAATTGGCGGGGTCTAATGTACTACCAGATTTGAATTAGGTAGTAAGGTATTACTTTACTATGCTTCATTAAATTAGATAATCGATACTTTTGTTTAAAATATTAATAGTTTCGACTTACTGGTGAAAGGATATACCACTTTTATTCAAAATTCCACATTCAACTGTTTTCGTGACACGTAGTTATCGCACTAAAACTGTCTACTGCTCGAAAATCTACCTCCCAAGATAATATCAATTTTAAGTTTTTCTCTTAACATGGCATTAAATAATATCTTGCTTTGCTAACACAAAATTTATTTCTTATTATGTATTTAAGGTGCATATAGACATAACACATTCAGAAGATAAAGTTAAAATTGATGGACCTCCAGAGGAAGTGGAGCGAGCCCAAGTAGAATTAGATGAATTTGTCAAAAATTTGCTTGCTACTCTTACATATGTCGAACTTACTGTTGACCCGAAATTTTTCAAACACATCATTGGTAAAAATGGAACTAACAGTAAGTTATAGTATTTACTAAGAGGCCTTACAGTAATATTTTGATTTTTATGTCTAAATTATTTAATCACAATCCTTTTTTTGTGCTTTTTAGTTAATAGACTGAAGGATGAGACTGGTGTAGTTATTAATATTATTGAAAATGAAGGCAATAACATTATTCGTATTGAAGGCAGCCACAAGGGTGTAGCCGATGCTGAGAGGGAACTTAGGGAAATGGTTATGAAATTGGAAAATGAAAGAATGAAGGAGGTATATGTTGATCACAGATATATAAAGTCTCTGATAGGTGTTAGAGGCGATAAGATTAAGGAAATTCGCGAAAAATTTGAACGTGTCCTTATCACACTACCAGATCAGGGACAGAAAAGAAGCCCTATAAAATTGAGAGGACCGCAGGAGGACATTGAAAAATGTGAAAAGTACTTACATAAAGTTATAAAAGAAATTGCAGAATCATCTTATGTACAGGAAGTACCTATTTTTAAGCAATTTCATAAATTCATTATTGGTAAAGGTGGTGCAAATTTGAGGAAAATTCGAGATGAAACACAAACTGTTATTGATCTTCCTGCAGAGGGTGATGATAGTGATGTTATCACAGTGCGAGGAAAACGCGATAACGTGGAAGAAGCTGTCCGCAGAATTCAACAGATACACAATGAGAAGGCCAATATAGTTACTGAAGAGGTAACAATTCCACCTAAGTATTACAATTCTTTAATCGGAGCTGGTGGAAAACTGATCCATTCCATAATGGAGGAGTGTGGAGGAGTATTGATTAAGTTTCCACCAGCAGACAGTGATAGTGACAAGGTTGTAATCAAAGGACCCATCGAGGATGTAGAAAAAGCGAAGCAGCAGCTCCTGGCGCATGCTTCAGAGCGTGAATTGACATCTCATACAGCTACTGTACGTGCTAAACCTGAACATCACAAATTTCTAATTGGTAAGAATGGTGCCAACATTAAAAAGATTCGAGAGCAGACAGGTGCGAGAATAGTGTTTCCTACTGAAAAAGATGAGGATAAAGAAGCAATTTTCATTATCGGTAAGAATTGTTATATGTTTGTTTTGCATATAATGTCCTCCAGTAAATCGTAAAAAGATGTTTTAGGTTGTTTACTATAGTTAAATTTGTACAGAAAACTTGATTTTCACTACATGACTTATTCTATCATATATCAAGGTGTTACAATTATATAGTTAAAGAGTTGCATAAAAATTATGTGTTTTCTGTCTTACCTATTTTCTATATATAGGACGCGAGGAGCAAGTAGAGGCAGCTCGGAAACAACTCGAAACTGCAGTAGCGGAAATCAGCAATGTGTCTGAAGGTGAGATGGCGGTTCCTCCACGTCACCATCGGCACTTCGTGGCCAGACGGGGTGAAGTTTTGCGTCGAATCGCAGATGACTGTGGAGGTGTACAGATTTCCTTCCCGCGTCAAGGCGTCAATAGTGACAGAGTCGTTCTAAAAGGACCAAAAGAATGTATTGAAGCTGCTAAAGCCCGTATAAACGAAATCATTGAGGATTTGGAGGCGAAGGTATGTAATTCTTTAATAATATGATAATAATAACATTAAGTGATATTAATTATTACGTTTTATATAATTTCAAAGATAACGTGATATTATTTAGGTCTATATACTAATGGCTTTATTCATAAAAATTTCAAAAGCCTTATGACATACTATGACTTTACTTTATAAAAGTCTTACGCGATGAGCATTCATGTTTTAGATTAGAGTAAAAAATATAAAAGTTCTTATGGCTCAGTTTTACATGCAATATACTTAGGCCTGTATTAATAAACGTTACTCAACGACGAACTCAAGTGCATAATCATTTGATACATTATTACGATATCAGCATCTCAAGATCGTTGCTAATTAATAAACACATAAAAACAGTATCTCAAAACGCTGTACTTAAAAATACTGTTCTGTGACTTGCACTCAAGTACACACACTTGAGAGTCGAGTTTCGCAGTGTGGTACTCAGCTGATATCGTATACCTAAATAAACCTAATCTTGAGATATGTTTATTAATAAGATCGTAACCTCAAGATTGTACTCAAGTGCGTGTACATGAGCTGAGTAACGTTTACAGGCCTTAACGTATTAACTTCAAGATGGAACATTACAATTAGGTAGTTGAGTAGTGCCAAGAGATGGCGTTAGGTGATTTGTTTTATTTTATATTGTTGCTTGGTGATAAATAATAAAATTTATTATAAAAACAAATATTATGCACTAAATACAATATGATAATTTTTTATGGTGCAGATTTTTATTACATTACTTTGTTATTTTATTTTTTATTTTATTTATTGATCCACCAACATTTGTATCATTCCTTACATGCTATTTAAATACAATGAACCAATAAGAATTAAAATGTACAAATAATTACAGGCGGATACCACATGCTAATAACTATCTCAGCACTGTAACTTTATTTCTAGGCTAAAAAAATTTAATAATGATATACAGTAATAAAAATACATAGAGCGAAAAGAAAAGAAAATGCTTTATAGAATATTACAAGAAATGGTCTCTTAATGTGCGACGGAGCTTGTTAGGAGGGTCGAAAAATATATCGATTGCTTCGCTAAATTTGTTAACAATTTTACTCATTCTAGCAATTGGAGAATTGGAGCCAAACACTGTTCTACGATGAGGTCTAGTCAACAGTGTAATCTTACGAGCAAAACGCGGATAGCGATAGGGAACACACAAATTAAATTTACTTAAAATTTCAGGACAGTCAATAACACCATTAATAATTTTCGAAGCAAAATTAAATCAATAATATACCTGCGGTTTTCTAGAGAAATCATTTTGAAATAGACCAAGTTATTTTCACATGATACACGTTTCTTATAACTTCTAAACCCACGCGCGTAAGACAAATGTCTTATGAATCTTTGAGGATGGTGCCTATCAACTTTACTGAGGGGACAAAGTGCCTGTTCCACTGTACAGTTAGGTAAATTTGAAATAACCAAATCAAGTGTTCTATTTAAACTCTTATTTTTTATACGATTGTACTGTTTCAAATCATTAACATTTAAAAAATCAATAAATGACTGACTAACAGTGGGAAGCTCACATTTTGCAGTATCCTCATCTAACAAGCTCCAATTTATGGAAAATAGATTAAAATCACCTACTATACAATGCAGACACTGTTCTTCCAGAACGTTAGTACAAGTGTCATAAAATTTATCATAAGTTACACTTTTTACAGGAGATGGTAAATAAATGGCACAGAAGGCAATTTGATCAATTGGCTGTGATGCTGGCGCATCGACTAAAATCCAAAGATCTTCCAGATCCGACTCCCAAGAGTTCATACGCTTCGATTTTAATTTACTTGATACTGTTATTAAAATCCCCCCTCCCTCTTTCTTGGTACTACTGGTAAAACATCTATCTCTTCTATATACCACATATCTAGGATCAAAATTTCACTACTCGAAACAGAATCATTAAAATTGTTAGTGAACTTGAACTATATGTAAATAGTACAAGGAATCTTGCAATACAATTTTAATCCATTATCGCGATATAATTATATATACAATTTAATAGCAATTATCGTGTGCTATATTGTCAGGATTATGAGCTCATGAACTGGTTACTTATGCCATTTCGGTTTTAGGCCAAAATGTGCTTTGAGTGAAAACACTTCTTAACCCATTCGTTGCGGTGCACGCACAACCGCGTAATTAAAATTGTCATTCTTAGGCGGATGACACCGATCGGCGTAAATTATATTTTAGCCATAACTTGACCAATTTCTGTTCTAAAGGGATATACTTTTTATATGTGCATGTTTTACATACCTACAACATCATTATAGTTTCCGTTTCTGTAAATAATGATTTTAGAAAAATAACAAAACTATCAATCAGGCGCGGATAACGCCGAACGGCGTCTTCCAGAGGTTATCAACATTGAAAACATTTGGATTAAATATTTATATATTATTTATTTTAGCTAGGTATTTTATTTTATAGAATTAGAGAACAGTAATATGTTCATACTACGAGCAATCTTCATTTCATAGTTGATAGTTAAACATTTTGCTGCGTTGATATGATTCGCTAATTTTTTTTATATATTCTTCATCATCTCTAGTGTAAAAAGGAAAAAAAAAGCAGCCAGAAAATTAAAAGAAAACGGCTTATTAATAAAATCCAACATCTTGGATTGTTAAAACCGTTCATATTGGTAATCATTGTTTCGCATACTTGTGAGAGTAGGTACTTAAACAAAACTACAACTACGAAAGTGTTCATAATACTTATTTAATAATATCAATAATCATCAAACAACATGTAGGCTCACAGCGTACCTATGCCACAAACATTATTCCGAGTCTTCTTAGTTGGGTAAACTTATGTCGTCCACATCCTATTGGTGACGTACTTTCCTCACAAGATTTATTATATTAACATATGTTACAGATCTTTTTTTCATTGGAACAAGATCTAATTCGTAAGCGATCAGTTGAGCAAACGCTTTGTTTCGGTGGTCAGTTGGTTCCCCGTTTTACAAAATTCAAAATCGGGTAATTGTGATACGTCACATTTATACTCATTAGAATCTAAAATGTTGCGTTTATATAAATTTGCATCCTGAATGTCCTGTGACGATACCTGTGTCTCTTTATTTTGTCTAGATGTGACTTTTTTCGCATCAACATTATCAAGATGATAATGTTGATCATCACATGGCTTTCTTTTTAGCGAACCAAATTGTTTCACACCGTCACTCAATAAACTCGGTAACGATGGTCGAGCCTCACCTTCCAAGACTACCAAAAGAAAGTCATTATTAATTATTAAGCGAAACAAATTACGCTGCAATAGAAATAGTATGTAACTTAAAAGACCTCTCTTCCTCTCAACTACTAATTAAAAACACTGCTTATTATACTTAATACATTTAAAATAGTAGACTAAATACTATTATTAAAAGTATTTTTAACTTTAAAAAAATCAGAAAAAAGGTTTGCTCCCTGGTCATATTTAAAATTCTGTCTAAACAAGCAAGAATCATTTTCATGTGCGGGAAACGCCGATCGGTGTCAAAGTGTTTAAATATGAGATGCGTCCGACGCCTATCGGGGTTAGCTCTTTGACCCTCCCGCCCCTGCGTAATAAAGGCGATTTTTCGAGCCGCATTGAATGGGTTAACTTTTTTATATATAATAATTCTATTTTCAGCCGACTTCAAAAAAGAGGCTGTTCACAATTCAACTGTATTTTTTAATGTGTTACCTAACTTTTCTAGGTGAACCGATTTTGATGATTTTTTTTTATTTAAAAGCTGGTGCTTCTCATGTGGTCCCCGTATAAATTAGATCAAGATCTGACTAGTAGTTTTTGAGTTATCCTTAATAATGCGCATTTAATTGACTTTACTTCTTATAATTCTTTCGTTTTTGTCCTGGATAAGTTTACAATTTTTAAAGTAAAATAAAACGAACATGTGAAAGAATCGTAAAAATATCAAATGAAATTGTTATGGGACTTTAAAATTGGGTTTGCAATTTTAAAGTCCCATACGCGGACCGCGTTCTGTAACGTTCTGTTCCGATGTCTAAAAGCATGACAGTTGAATAAAAGTTTTTTTTAGCATCTTTTCCATCACTGCGATGGGGCCCGCCCCCTCTCGTCTCAATGGTCATTATTAAATAAAATAATTCTTCGTCAGAGCTTTCCATTGATCACACTTCCGTACGCTTACTTGTCACAGCTACGACTAATTGCAAAAATCCGCCTGTCTGTCCCGGCCCGCCTTGTAAAATAAACGTAGTACGCAAAAATGCTCGCCGCACCGTTGCCTGCCCTGTCTCTAACGGACGCCTAGCTTCAGATTGCATTATATGGATCTCAATAAATTAAATAACATGTCAACTTATGCACTTTGTGCAACCTGTGGATTTAAAATTTATCTAATAAAGTTGTAATTGACAGGTCACCATTGAATGTGTGATACAGCAAAAGCACCATCGTACTGTAATGGGTGCCCGAGGTGCCAAAGTGAAGGACATAACTGCAGAGTTTGATGTTCAAATTAAGTTCCCAGAACGTGATAACACTGAGGGTGCCGAAATACCTGTGAAGAATGAAGATAGCTCTGAACCTGGTTTGAACGATATTATAAAAATAACAGGTCGTCCCGAAAACTGTGAAGCTGCAAAAAAAGCACTTTTGGAACAGGTGACTTAATTTGTTTTAATAATATTAATTCTGACTTTCATACTTAGTTTAAAGTTCTGAACTTATTATTATGCAGATCCGATCAATAATTATTTTAATATTTGAAACATATTTTTATTTTATAGGTGCCAATAACAATAGATGTTGAGGTACCTTTTGATCTTCACCGATTGCTTGCTGGACAAAAGAGAAGGGAGTTGATGCAAACATATGATGTTCACATCCTCATGCCACCGAGTGAAGAAAGCAGTGATGTGGTTAAGGTCAGTTTAGATAATAAATCACATGCACTTAATAATAATTATAACAGAAAAATATACATTTCACATGGTATTTTTAAATGGAAGGCCACATTCTGCTTGTAATAAAGAAACTGGTGCAAATTAATACTTACACATTAACTATTTTAGTGCATTGTTATATGATTCGGGAACAAAATTTATTTAATTGTCTCTAGGTAACGGGCACTCCTGCAAATGTGGAAAAAGCCAAACAAGCACTTGCCGAAAAGATTGTTGAGATGGAAAAAGAGAAAGAAGATCGTTTTCTCAGGTAAGATTTTCAGACAATATTATTGTGTACTTTTAATACTAACACGAACAAAACATCTTTCTTTTGAACGTCTTATTAAAAAAATAAGCTTTTAAAATATCTAACATTATTGGGAGTCTGTCTGGGTGCCACCCCCGTACCTATTTCTACCGCCAATCGCACTGCTGTGTTGCGCTCTGAAAGGTATAGAGAGTTAGAGAGCCAGTGCAATTACAGGCTGTGAGGCATTCCATGTTAGTCTTCAGAAGTGACAATGCATCTCTAGCTTTCTTTGCTTAAAATTGGCTGCAGGCGTCCATGGACTACCATCTACAGTACTTACCATCAGGTGGACTGGACGAGGTCAGGGAAAAAAAATCGTCATTAATGTAAATTTTATTTTATTTTTGCAGAGAAACATTTTTATTTATTCTCTAAAAAGGGTTACATAAACAGAATCATATCATAATATCTTAAAGCATTTTAAGTGTTGCGTTGTAGGTACTGATTTGGTATGCACTGCTAATTTCGCATGCTTTTCCCATTTTAAGACGTGTTCACTGTAGAAACCACAAGTTTAGACTAAGATTGTGAACAAAACCATGTAAACTCAGGTAATAATAAGTCGGAAACACGCTAAATAATCTTAATTATTGACCAATGGGAAACAAAGGCAAAGCAATTAGTTATTAGCCCATCATAAAAATATTATTATTATGACTCTACCACCTGGCTCTAATTCAGCGTTTGTGGGTGTTTGGAAACAATACATGTTTATTGCCCAATAACTTGAAAGTAAATAAAAGAATGACTTCTTTAGATATTCGATATTAACAATAGAATATGCAGGTATATTTCTGTTATGTGTTTATGTGTTATCTTATGGGATTTCGTTACAATTTATAGATAATTATGTTGTTTAAGTGTGGTCTTAAACTTTTGTCCCGCAGTATATATAAAAAAAGTAAAATGGGTGGTCTTATCCCTCTGGAAGCGATTTCTTCTAAACAACCTTATTATGCAAAGAATTGTTCACAACAAATGGCTATTAAGGAGGTGTTCATAGATTGTAGATTTATGTAAATAAAATGAAAAAGAATATTTTAGAGTTCCAAGTAATAAGCTTTGAGTAGATTTTTAAAGGAAAAAAGGGATTGGGCATGGTGAATATATAGAGGAAAGGTGTTCCGCGACTCTGTTACACAAGACTATTTATTGTAGAAGTAACCCGAAACAATTGAATCTAAAACTTGTTTCTGTCGGCCTTTACAAAGAGATAAAAACTAAGTACAGCACTTTACTCGTTCTTGTTTTTGAATAGCGGAAAGAAGTTTTGGGACGCACCTAGCACTGAGCTTATTCATACCCAAATGTTCATGATGATGAATGATACTCGATTTTATGCATTACGAAAATTTAAATCGACAGTCTCACTCATAGCTGAAGACGATTTCAGTTTTTATAGACAGCCTCTATAGACATAATAAGTCTGATAGCCTTTCCTGTCATATAGAAGCCCTTATAATTTTTGCTTATTATGTTCGAGGTTGTTATATATTTGCTTATTATATATTACGTTCAGGGTCCCTGTATCTCGGGGTCCCGTATCATTGATAGGCTGATGCGGCTGTAGCTACGCCCCTGGTGCTTTTATCTCATACTCTACTGATTTATATTTATTCATCATCAATATTTAATATCAGTATTGTTTAACAGTGCTATCAACGTTGTAAGCCTAGGTTATTTTTTATGTAACAATTATAAATGATTGAGACAGTATATTGAACATTTATTATTGATTAAAATATTCTTGCAGATCATTTGAGCTGAAATTCAAAGTTGATCCTGAGTATCATCCATTAGTCATTGGAAAGGGTGGCTCAGTGATAACAAAGATTCGCACTGATTACGGAGTACAAATAAACTTGCCTAAACGGGGAGAACCTGATGATGATATTATTACTATTCAAGGATATGAAGACAAAGCATTGCAAGCTAAAGAAGCCATTATGGCTATTGTCGATCAACTTGTAAGTGAATTTGTGTCAGTGTTTATTCATCCAGTAATTATTAAAATATATTTAAAAAAAAATAGGATTAGGGTGACAAACGAGCATACAGTCCACCTGATGGTAAGTGGTTGCTGTAGCCCATAGACATCTACATCTATCTTTGATTACAAATCAAAATGCAGATACGTCGTCACCCATGAGGACTAAGATGGAATGCCTCGGTTCCAATAAAATGAGTCTCTGGTTCTCTGCACTCACCATACGAAACACAACAGCATTAAGCTGCTATTTTACGCTGGTATTCTGTGAGAGCGTGTTTCTTCCCCGGTCGAGCCGACTCAGTGATGCTACGATTATAGCACCAACATAGCTGCAGCATGGCTCTACCAGATCCTAAACAATTTATACAATTTGTTTCTGTGCAAGTTATGTGAGAAACAATAAATTTTTTCTATCTTCATTGTTACCACTGTCTTACCTATTTCTATTCCTGAGCAGCGTAATATTTACTGCTGTGTTCATCTTAATCCTCAAGTGTCACAATGTATCTTTGATATTATTTGTATGTTGCTTGTTTATTATTCTAATTATATGATAAAGAAAAGCTTTCAGAATCTAAAATCTCTCATATACATTAATTCAATTAAATCAACGCCCATTTTAGATTTAGTAACAAAATTTTGTAGTACCACAGTAGAGAAGAGTAGTACTACAGTAAAGAAGCGTTGAATTTTTTTTGTCAAAATTTATGAGAATATTGTGTAATGATGTCTTCAATCAAGTTATTGTTTTATTCACATAAAAATTACGACACTACTAAAAGTAGCTAATTTGAATAAAATGATATAGTAATTATTTAATACTGTTTTTTATAGTTGTGAATTTTGATTCGTTCATTCATTATATTCATTACCGCCTATCAAAGTCCACTGCTAAACAAAACCCCCAAAGACTCGCTCATAAGGAAAATGTTTGCCAAGGTTGCCACTCTTGGCAGGCAGGTTGGATTATCATTGGGAAGATGCTACTGCCCATCTTCTGGTTTGTTTCTCTCTGTCGCTTCTTGCGTCACACACAGAATGATATGGGGTAGTGGATATTCTTACTACTACCACTACACAGATTCATATTCTATAAGCTCCTTAAACTGCACCCACTATTGTGTCTTGTATTGCAGGGTAAGAAAACTATAATATATTATAATTTATATGAAAAAACATCTCTTCTTTCCGCTTTGATAAGAAACATGCCAATATGTCACAGCAAAACTTAGTTTAGAGTAGACTGATGGTTTCCATAGGTAGTAGCTACTTACTTAAATGAGCTATGACCTTATTTGTCACTCATTGATTGAAATAATTCACTCATCTTATATATAAAAATTAATTTTTGTTTGTTCGTATTTTATGCGCTGCTAAACCGTTCATCAGATTGCGCTTAAACTTTGTCAACCTATTGATGGCACTTGCGCGAAGGTTATAGACATAGTACAAATAATGTTAGTAGGTGGCGCGCGTATCGTACTGACAATTTATTTGAAAGTTATAGATCATTCAATTTCAAAGATTGTATTATAATTTCTAAGTAAATAAAATAACTATTCCAAATTTAAAACGATATTTCCTCAATTATTTTTGCTGCGGCAGCAATGCGCCGGGTACCAACTAGTTTACTATAAAATAAACACTACATCACATCACATAAATTTACTTTGTTTAATTGTTTGATGAAATTGGTAATTTGTTGACTTTTGGTTAGATGAAACATATTTTTATTATTTCAGAATAACCAGTTTCGGGATGAAGTTGACATTGATCCACGTGTACATAGAAGGCTTATTGGCCTTAGAGGCAAGAATATCAGACGTATTATGGATGAGTACAAAGTTGACATCCGTTTTCCTAAAAATGGCGATGATAGCATTGTCGTCATTACTGGAGATGAAGATAATGTGTTAGATGCCAAGGACCACTTATTAAATTTGGCAGAGGAATATGTAAGGCTAACTTAATATAATTGTGCATATTATTTTACTTCCAAAGTTGAACCAGGAAAATCATAAACTTTGTCACTTTGAAGACATTTACGAACCTAATTTCAATAACTGACAACAATAGTGCTTTCCATCATTAGCCAAAATCAAAAGAAAAAATAAAGTTTTTATTATAAATTTTCTATATTGTTTACCAGATTAGTAGCACAGGGGCTCGCTGTTAATTTCACAGTAAATGAGCAACCTGGGTTCGATCAATGCATTCATCAATGAAATTGTTAAATGCAATTTTAATTGCTGATTTACATGGTGCTGATTTTTATGTTGTAGGTTTAATCTTTAAGACACATTTTTTCTTTGGTAATGGACTCAAACTACTGCCAGTGCCAAGTCAATAATTTACTTTGAAAAAATCTTCATAATATGTTGATGCTTCACATTGCAAAGGTTTTGTTAGATTTTGATGGCAGCTTGAGCCAGCAGACAGTCGATAACGATGGTATCTCAAGGCGGCTTAAGGAGATACATTATCTTGAGGATCACATCACCATTGGAGCAGTTATTTCATTGTTTCCGCTAATTGTTCTAATGCACAGACGGTTACTTAAACTTTAAATACACAAAATAGCACTACTTACACATCAAAATCCACTTCAAACCATTATTAGGTATTAATAGGTTGGGAATGCATAGGTACAGGAGGAGCAATCCGTCGTTGGTCAAGTTCCCGCAAAACGCTGCATGAATATAAAATTAATTAATTTTTCCCGCCTTGGTCATTAATTTATTCAATTTGAATTTGAATACAGAAATGAAATGTGCTAGGAATAAATTGAAATTTAAATCTTTTTATTTGGTCAGTACTTTCAAACTTTAATAAACATAAAATATACGTAGAATGTTGATGTGTGAAGACTTTAGTTTTATTGACTAACTTTAAAGAAAAGACTGATAAAATTAAATTTTAAATAGAAATAGAAAGTAAAAACTGACATCGAAGCACTAAAACAAAGTTTTATTTTTAACTCTTTTTGACAGACTAAAGAGCACCACAAGCTTACACAACACGTAACAACTAGAATGTCCTCTAAATATTACAGGTGGAATTTTAAATTTAACAAATTTGTATGAGACAAGCCCTGCAGTTTAATGATCGCAGGATTTTCGCAAATGCATATGGGAATACGATTGTTTAGAAAATATGGGAATATTCGTGAGTACGAATTGCATGTCCCATACACCTGATATATTTGAGATTGTGATACCAACCTTTAACACCTTTCCCTCAATAAAGCATACTGGTCGCAGTAATACTGCTCTTGCAAGATTTCCACTGCTCACAAAGAATCCTTTCTCTTAGTCATCTCTTGACACAACTACACATACAAAATTGAATGATGAATTCTGTTAAGACGCCTTATTTTTACGTTATCACTTATCGGTTGACACATCTACAGCTACAAGACGTCGTGGACCGATACCAGCGCCCTGCTGCGCCGTCTCTTGGTGACTTCGGCGATGTTCTCAGCGGAGAAAATACCGCCCCCAGCAGTGGGACTCCGGCATCTACCGGCTTCGTGGTGAAGGGCGGACCGTGGGAGCAACGTGCACCCGATACAGCCTCAACGCACGAGTTCCCAACCATGCCTGGAGCACCCGCCCCTGCTCCGACATCAGCGCACGCCCCTGCCGCTTGGGGACCGAGACGCTAAACGTGCAAGGCGTGAATAATGCAGTGCAGTTTATAAGTAGTGATTACATAATTATTTGATACTTGTCTTACTTGCTTGAATAGCAAATGCTTCTGTTAATTCTGTTTTGTAAGTATCTAGGACACACAATAGTAATACACAACTTATAACCTAAGATTTAATGAGTAATTAAAACAGTTTTGGTTATGACTACCTATTTTAAATCTAATATACTATTTTGTTTACTGCTTGCTTGCTTCTTGTAACCGATTTTTATCAAATTAGAATAACCATTTAAAATATTCTTTATCAAGTTATTTTACCAATTATTATATCGAAAGTGAACACACTACTTATAAACTATCCTGCATAAAATCATCATGGTTGTCACGAGTGAACATAATATAATATACATCATATGAATTTGGTTTATGTAGAATATTGCTCTCATCTACTGTTTCATGTAATTTGTTATTTTTTTTATATTTAGTTATGGACGCCATTCACTACAATTAGTATACACATACAAGCAATTATATTTACAACTCGTGATATCATACTCCATGAGGACGGGTAATATACATAATAATATGCATATTACAGTAATTTAATATGCATAATATGCTTTACACGCTAAATCCATATTATATAGACCATTACTTGAACATAATATTTAAGTTTAGAATTAAAGCAGTTATGTTCACCTTAACCATGTTCAGACTGTCTCATTCGGCCTAAAGTTCCTTTTTGAAGTTAATTACAGAACTTCAAGGAAAATATCATTCCGTGCTATAGTCGAATTTTAATAAAACGATGAATTAGATTTTGATTAACATACAGAGAAATCAAACTTTGTCTCCAGTGAAACTAGAAACGAAGCAATTTATTACCTTTTAATAATTTGTAAATCCAATATATTTATGCCATGTAATAAACTTATATTGACTTTTACTTGTAAGTATAAATTTTAAAATGCCATTGATTTTGTTGATAATTTACATTCGAAAACATATTTTATTTTATTATTTAGGATTATATTATTATTTTGTATATTGTTATCCATAAAAAATGCATAAATACAATGTTCTGTGTACTTATTCATTTAAATGGTGATGAAATGCTAAGTTATTTCTTCATAATATTTTTTTATTATTTCATAAATAGAAAATTTATATTATCGTTTTAAGTGTCGCATATAACAATAAATAAATCATTAAATAATAAGACGAGAATAGATATTTTTACAAAGTAATTTGTATATAGCAAATTGTGTTTCAAATATTAAAACCTTTTACAAAATATAAAATGCCTTTTATTCTCATACCATAATTTTTCTTTTATCATACATGTATGTTTAGATATGTGATAGTTACTACGAATTTGCTAAGAAAGAACTGATCATTGAATGGGTCTCACCAACATGTTCTCTCTCTCAATAAAACCTATATAGCTTTAAAACTATGTTTATGAAAATAACAATAGTTTTTGTTTCATCCAAATTGGTGTAGAAATACGAAAGTTATAACGTTTTGAAGTTTGGCAATTTTTTTAATTTTTTACCCGCTCGTTCTCTGTGACGTGACGTCACAATCCGACAGAGCCATGTTTCTTTAAAGTTTGTGGACCTATGTGTAGTGGTTATATTCTCTTTGACCTATGTTGTGGAGTGCGCTAGCACTTCTTACTAGTTTGTGGTTGTGGAGTGTGGACAGAGCGAACACGCTTCTTCTTCTTAATAACTGGCTTTACAGCTCTGGGATCTAGCCGTTCTGAGCCTGAAGTTACAATATATTATAATAATTATCCTTCATATTATAGTGCTTCACAATATGTTGATGCGTCACATTGTGAAGCCCTTGGGAGATTTTGACGGCAACTTGAGTCAGCAGACAGCTGACGGTTGGCGAGGGTATCTCAAGGCGCCTATGCAGACAGACACCTTAATTTGAGAATCGCATCACCATCAGAGCACTTGTTTCACCGTTTCCACTAATAGTTCACATGCGCAGACACTTAATACACAAAATCGCACCACTTTTACATATCAAAGTCCACTTCAAACCATTATTTAAACAATAATACAGAAGCAGCAAACCGACGCCGGTCAAGTTCCCGCCAAAACTCAACGAACACGCAGTAGGTACTTGCCACAGACTAATACGATGCTTACGCACAATGGTAGTACAAATGAAAATCTTTTTATAACCAAGGAGTACTAACCGCGTGCTCGGAAGTATACGGTCGTTTACCTATATCGAATGTCAGAGTTAATGTCCAGTTGACTGTATTCGATGATATAATATTTATAATAAACCCAACGACTATGTAATAATTTTGAACTAATAATTTATGAATAATCCAATCTAATATAAATAATCTAATCCAATGTAATCAATATTATTTAAGATGAATAATTTAATCTAATAATCTAATCTATTATTATGAATAATTTAATCAATGAACTATTAATAATATTTGACATTTGTATGCCCATGAGGCTGATCACAGACTGAACTTTATTTGTGTTTAAATAAGACCTTTTTGTAAACTGTGAATCAGAAATGAACTATTTGATTTGATTTATAAACTAAACAACAAAAAGTGTATAATTAATGACTAGGTTTAAGAGGCGGGACTTCCTTAGTCACAGAACACAATTACTCTCTACCGAGGGAAGAATGCCAACTTCCTACTAAAAAAAGGAAACACGTGTTTGTACACGTACACTACAAGCACCACGGTGGGAGCCCATATAAAACTTTTTAGTGGGAATTTCAAAAAAATCATTCAAAATTGTAAAGAGTCCCTCAGAGAAAAATTTAAAGAAATAAATATATTAACTTTGTCGTCGCAATATATTTATGAACATAAAAACATAAATAGCTTTAATAAGAATAATGATGTTCATACCTTATAACACTTACTACTTATAATACTTACTCACTTATAACACTAGGAACAAACATAAGCTTGTAATGCTAGTTGCTAGACTCCACAGAATTAGTAATTCATTTACGGGGCAATGTATACGCTTTTACAACAAAATCCCAGAACATGTTCAAAGTTTGTCAATAAACAAGTTTAAAAGTTTTATTAAAGAAAAACTGTGCAAAAACTGTTATTATAATATCAAGGAATACATAAATGAAAATAACCCCTGGGAATAAGGTGATCGCCACCATGTAATATGAATGTCCTATGAAAATTCATTTAAAATTGTATAAACAAATTTATTGTTAAGTAAAATTATGTTTATAAAAAAATCCCGCTGGGTTTCTTGCTGATTCTTCCCAGGACAGAGGTATTTTCAGTAATTTCAAAAAAAAATATCGAAACTTTGCTTTAAAATTACACGATAATATTACACTGTCATTTAAAACAAGTCTAAGGTAATTATACCTTAAACAGGGTAATTTTAGTCTGCTGAACGGGAGTTTACAATTTTCATCTGATCGTGTGTCAAATGTCAATGTCAATCAAGAATCAAGATAACTTGCTAAACTGTGCGCAAGATAACTCTGCGCGCGGCCAAAATTGGAACTAATCGTGTGCCGCCATCTTACTGTTTATGGCAGGTGTCAAAATAGAGTGTTAGGTGTACGGAGTGTAGAGAGAAGGAGGACCATCTCTATATATGAAAAGTGTCCCTAAAAACGTGTCCAATAAGGGTGGCGCTGCACTAACATAGGATAAATTTAAAAAAGCGCCAAAAGCAATTAGAATAAGATCGAGAAATAAACAAGGACCGACCAATCCGCTTGGTTTTGTACTACGTAAATAGTAATAGATTTTGTATACTGGCATTTCACTAACTACTATAGTCATGAAATTTTTTAAATATTTGAATTCAGCTGACTTCACTCCGTTTACAACAGCTATCTTCAGATCGTAGTTTTTCAGACGCCAGCGCTATTGTGGTAGGTTTTGGAACCTCTATTTTTAGTAAAATATTAGGACACTTTTTCAACTTTCGTCTCTTATAAGATGGTTCTCCTTGTGCTCTACACTCCATAGTTAGGTGTCGTGTTTTTATTCGTTTTTGCAGTAAATAATCGTCATCATTATGCTGAAAGTGATTAAAATTGTTGGCAGGGATATAATCTTGAAGGTCAAACGTGCTTGTGAAAAAGAACGAGACAATAACGGGCCTACAGTAACGTTATTCAAAGTTATAGCCCACTTTTCATATTTCACAGGTAATTATTAGGGCTGCGATAATAAATAAAACTCCCTAATTTTCTCTCTCTTTTTTTTAGGCTTTTCTGAACGCACTGTCACCCAAATAACTCAAGAGGGTACATAATGTAGCAGTAGCTTTATCTACTAAAATTGTGACGCCAGTAAAAACTAGGAACCGGAGGAAAAAAATTATGGTTTAGGGTTTAGACGATTTTCATATGTGGCGCTATAAGGCATTTAAATCAATCGTTTGACGTTGTCAAGAAAGAGATTCCTGCTATAAACAAACTTTGGTTGGACTTGAAAGCTGATCGTAGTACATATAACTCAATGTGATATTGATTTTAAATTTGGCAGAACATCGTTGAGTAGTAGCTTAAAGACTATGGGCTACAAATACAAAAGGTGCCAGTTTAAACGAAAAGTATTGATAGAATGCAGTGATATTGCAGCTCAGAGAACAAAATATATTCTGAGAAGCATATATTTTCTCTATCCTATTATCTAATATGTATTATCTAAGAATCGTCAAGAATTTGTGCCAAATCTACCTACAAATTGCATTGTAATGATGGATATTGCGTCATACCACACAAATAAACAAGGCGCCTACAATTGGCAATACAAAAGCTGAGTTCCGAGAGTGGATTACGAGAAATAGATGATTGTCAAAAAACACAAAGGAGACCCACAGTATGAAAAAGAACAAATATTAAATGAACATGTATATGAGGTTCTCCGTTTGCCGCCTTATCTACCGCGATTTAAATCCCATCGAAAAAAATTGGACAATAGTAAAGAGGCGCATTGTAGAGAAATATCACTAAAGCTCCTAGCGAAATAGCCGCTATTACTGTGATGGCTTTTGGAACAGTAACAATAGAAGAATGGCGCAATGTATGTCTACATGTAGAAAAAATAGGAGATAAATATTTCGAATTAGATAAGCTGATTGATATTTAAATGGATAAATTTGTAATTAATGTCACAGGCGACACATCCGAGTCTTCTGATGAAGATTCTAGCATGGATTCTGATGAAGATGTGCGAATGGAAGGCGTTGACTCACTGCAGGACCATTGTTACACCAAATTTACAAATAGATCTAGATATTCAATAAAAGATTTACAAGGTTTCCATGGAATTTTAATTTCGTTCTTTCTAATAAAGTTAAATTTGACCTACTTTTAGGTTTTCGATGGAGCGGAAATTTTACATATACGTTAAGTTTAGATGAAAATAAGTGACGTCCTATATAGCAAACTCCCAAAGATGGAGGACTAGTTATTTTTTGTGCATTCCCTTCATTAGGTATGAAATAAAAGTGTTTGCTGAGAAGAATACCAAAAATAACTCGTACGTGGTAGAGCCATGCTGCGGCTATATTAGTAGTATAGTTGAAGCACGAATGGGCCGGCTCAACCGGTGAACGATCACGCTCTCACAGAATACCAGCGTAAAATAGCAGCTTAACACTGCTGTGTTTCGTATGGTGAGTGTAGAGAACCGGAGACCCTATTTACTGGAAAAGAGGCATTCTATCTTAGTCCTCACGGGTGACAACGCATCTGTATTTTGATTCGCAAACAAGGATAGATGGAGATGTCTAAGGGCTACAGCAACCACTTACGATCAGGTGGACAGTGTGCTCGTTTGTCACCCTATCCTATAAAAAAATAAAAAAATAAAAGTGAAGCGTTTTTTTAGTTTTTTTTTTCTCAAACTCGCTCATAAAAATTAAACGTATTGTTGCGCGCCACTATTAATGTCTTGTACATGGCAACACTAGTTACACTAGCGCCCTCTAGTGTCGAGTAGCAGAACTAGGAGAGTCAAGATCCTTCCAGAAATTTCGGGACCGATATGTACTCGAACATTCTATATGTCGCTACAGTAGAAGGTTCTGGAAACTAGCTGAGGCCCTATATATGGCCGGTATAGACCACGACGAAGGCAGTATTGAATTGGCGATACAAGAGAATACTTCGAAGCGAAATAACTGCGAACTTAAGTGATTGTGTTTTATTATTAGTGTGATTTTAAGTTGTAATTAGTGTTGTGTAATTAAATAGTCAATTTTGGTAATTCACTCGGCAGTTTTTAATTGTCTCGAACC